AGATACCCACCGATGGCTAATATCATAAAAAATTACAAGTGCTAATGCTCATATCAGCATTATTTACAATAGGTAGGGCACAGACACAGCCTAAACATCCATGGACAGATGACTGTGTCAAGAAGATATGGTATATTCACACCACGGAGTATGATATAACCATAAAAAAGGATGAAATGCAGATATTTTCAACAAAATGGAGGGAAGTTGAGAATTAGGTGCAGTAAAGTTAATCAGAACAATAAAAACAAATAGTGAATAATTTACACAGCAATTTGATAACATGAAACACTTTCAAAAACTAGTAGACATTAAGTGAACATCCTGAGGGCTCTGAGGTTAAGAGGAAGGGGTGGGAAGGGATAAAGAGGTGGTATAAGGGATGGTGAGGGGGAGGGAAACACAGCAAAATAAAAAGGGTTGGCAAGGATATGGAAAAATTTGAACCCTCATTCATTGCTGGTGGGAATAGAAAACAGTATAGCTGCTCTGGAGAAACAGTTCGAGGGTCCCTCAAAAAATTAAACATGGAATTACCATACAACCCATCACCTCCACTCATGGGTATATACTCAAAAGAATTAAAAGCAGGGACTCAAACAGATAGTGGCACACCCATGTGCAACTATTCACAAAAGCCAAAAGGTGGACACACCCAAATGCCTAACAACAAACAGACAGATAAAATGTGTATACATGGGAAAAGTGAAGTAAGTCAGAGACAAAAGCACAAAATATTGCACTAATAACAGGAGGTTCCTGGCATGAGAAAGTTCACAGAGACATAAAGCAGACTAGAGGTTACCAGGGGCTGGGGCTAGGGGATGGAAGAGAAGAGGATGTCACTGCTTAAATGGCAGTTTCAGGCTGAGAAGATGAGAGAGCTGTGGAAATGGATAGCGGTGTAACCGCACAACTTGGTAAATGAACTTAATGCCATTGCATTAAACACTTAAGGATGGCTTAAACTGTATTATAGTATGCTTTATTATGTTAAATTATGATGTGTATATTTTATCACAACTTGAACCAAAACTTGTACCTAGAATACATGAACCTCCAAAATAAAACCTCCAACTCTTCCAAGGGACGAGTAATCCAACACTATGAAAAAAGCCACACAAGGAAAGAAATAATCAGTAACTAATAATTGAAAAGATGCAATGGGGTTAAACAATGAGGTGGTACTTAATACCTGTTAGTAAAATGATAAACCAGTATCAACAAGGAAAACTGCAGGAAAAATTAGCCTCATGTGACACTTGACAAAAAGCTTACATTGCTTTTGAACATACGATTGCTCAGTCCTTCTGGAAAGCAATCTGGTGATAAACACACTTTTAAAACTCATATGCTTTAGTTTCATTTGAAAAAAAGAACTTTATTTTTAAAAAAAGAGTTTCACTGAAAAAGCAAAACTGTGTCCAAAGCTGTTTACATTAGGAATATGTTGTACAACAGGGAAAATACACACAAGAATTGAGGAAGAATTCAATGAATTTCGGCATATTAATTATGAAACAGATGAGGCCACTAAAAAGTAAATAAGAACACATTGATAGCTGGAAGTTGTATAGAAAGTAACTAAATGAAAAAGAACTGTGGATTACATGTTATAATCCACATAATCACTACATAATTATAACTGCATGACATTAATCATGAAAAATCAAAACTAGCCTTGAGAGCTCACTATGTCCCAGGCATTGTGCCAGGTACTCTACATGTTTTATATAATTTATCCCTTGTAACAACTCTATAAAATAAATACTCTTGTACTAGAGTTTTATTAATGAGAAAACGAAAGCCCAGCAAGTCACTGGGCCTGTACGATACACAGAGGATCAGGATCTGACCACAGTCAGTGTGAGTCCCAACCTGTGAATGGAAATCATATTTAAGGGAGGAATGAGAGTCATAACTTTTTTGGGTAAGGTTTTCAATAAAAAATTAGAAAGTAAATCATTGCACACCAGTCTCCACGAAGTGCTGTGCTGTTAGTCTAGTTCTCAATTACACCACATCTAAAAGTTAAAAAAGTTATATTTATATAGACAGGCTGCCATTACCTTTCATTTTGTAAAAATGGATACTCTACAGTTGTGACAACATGAAAAAAAAAAAAAAAAAAAACTGGAACTCAGCTTCATTTTTACCTCAAATGTCTTTTTCATGCTAACTGCAGAGCACAGCCAAAAAGGTTTGCTAAATTAATCTATGCATCTGTGGAAACATTTCCTGGAGGCCCAGCTCACTACCTCCTCTACCTTGGGACTGGTCCTCACGGTTCTACCAGCAGCTCATTAAGGATGGAGATGTCCTCACTCACATCCTCAAGTGCCCTTCTAGTCTTGCTTCTGAAAAAGGGGGGCTCTGTCTACTACCCAAAGGAAAGGCGAGATGTTTCTGCACCCCTGGATAGACAGTGCAGAGTCGATGAAGAATAGGCTGTCTGAGAGGAAAAGTGAACAAGCAGCACAGCAAAAGGAGACATACCAGATGGAGGCCAATGCTTTAGTGTTTCCACAAGCAAAATCCCTCAAAAAAAAAAAAATCCCTCAAATGCAACTACTATCCTTCCCAAGTTGGGCTTTGGGAACAGTTTGGGTATCCAGATATACTACCAGAAACATTTCTAAGTCAGTTTGGGGTTAGCGACACATGGCTTTGTGCAGCACCTGCCTCATCTGCTGAAACATAATGTCCCTGTAGAGGACACTATACAAAGGCGCCTAAAAATAAATACAGGGAAAACAGATCTTTGTAAATGTTCAAGGTGATTCAAAGACATTACCATGTAAAACCAGTTTACCAATAGTTCTTATAAGAAAGCTGAGATGGCTGAAGGAAACCAGCACCACCATAACATAGGTCCCTGAAAAAGAGTGGTCAGTTGTGTGGCTGTGGCCTCTAAGAAATGATTGTTCCCAAAGGCCGGTTCACCTTCCCTATTTGAAAAATGCTGCCTCCTCCCTCTAAAAAGCCACTAATTTTTCTAAGAAAAGTAGGTTCACTGGCACTCATGGAGTTGCACACGTTTTTCTGTCACACAGTCCACAACTGCCACCTTGCTGTCCCCTTCATAGAGATGAAAAACCCAGACAAATTCTGACTGGATGTCACAGCACTTGGATATGTGGCTGGCATGGGTGTGCCAGGCGAGTGGAGGTAGCGACCTCTCATCCACTTCACCTCCAGCAACTCCAAGTCCTCAAGGCTCAGGGAAAATTGGCTGACTCAATTCCTTCAGTCAGGACCCAAACTCCAGGGAGAACTGCCATCACACACACAGTGAGCCTGTCAGGGGCCAAGAGACCCCTTGCTATCATCATTGTCACAGACAATAGTATAACTAAACACCTCAGTTAGTATAACTAAACACCTCAATAGTATAACTAAACACCTTAGAATGGCTCTGCAGCCCTTGTTTGGTACTTCCAGAGAACTGAAAACCCAAACTGATTCTTTCCACTCGATAGTTCTGTCACACAAAGGGCAGTAGCAATGCCTGCACAAGGCTTCTGTGAAAAGTTCTGCAGCTCTGGATTTCTGGTCCTTCATGCCACAGCTCTATGATCACCATTAGCTACAAAATTATTTCACTGTCACTTGACCAATTCAGACAGCTCCATGTCCCTTATATACAGTTTATCAAAGCAAACATCCATGTCCCTCCCCAACAACCCCAAATTAAGACAAATTACCAAGTGATTAGCAGTCACTAGATATTGATAATCAAGAAGTTTAGAAAAACAAAATTTTTTTCCTTTAAAAATCAAACAAAAACTGGGGCCTCCCCTGTTGGCGCAGTGGTTGAGCACTGGGCTGCAAAGCTGCCCGCAGCCTCTGCAGCACCGGTTCCATCCCCGGCTGCCGGTGAGGGTCCCACATGGCGTGCAGACCTCTCCTGCTGCCCGCTGCTCCCCTCAGCAATGTGTTTCATCAGTCTGCCTGTTCTGTTCCCTGCTCTGATGAATCCTCTCACCCTCCCCCCTTCTGACTATACCCAGTGCTTGTATAAATAAATAAATAAATCTTTAAAAAAATAAATAAAAATAAAAATCAACACTGTCCCAAAGAGACAGCATGACAAAAAACAATTTGTTTTGAAATAAGACGTTTGCTGCCCGCTGATGGGGAAGCAGAGTCAAATGCAGCAAAGTTCCATGTTGATGTCGGAGAGCTGGCCATCATCTCTAGAGGGGACAGACACACTCAAGAGAACGACCACAGTGTGTGCCCTAAATTTGCCCTAATCAGCATCCCAACCTGCTCACCAGTGTTGCCATCTTCTCTAACCTCATTCTTAGCAACAATACTTAGTCTTCTTTCCCCAAGTCTGAATTTTGATTTAAATGAAGAAAATAGATCTCTCTGGTAGTGCAAGGGGTTAAGACGCAACCTATGAAGCTATCCACAACCTCTGCAGCACGAGTTTGATCCCCAGCTGGCCAGGGAGCAACCCACATGGAGCAGCAGACCTCTCCTGTCTCTCCTGCTGCTCCCCTCAGCAGTGTCGTTTGGTCAATCTGCCTGTTCTGTTCCCCACTCTGTCTCTGGTGAATCCTCTCACCTCCTGCACCTCTGGCCTGTACCCCAGCTCTTGTATGCATAAATAAATATATATATCTTTAAAATAAATGAATGAATGAATGAATGAATGAATAAAACAAAAGATTTGTCATATGTAAATAATATCTTCTCCCAAATGGAATTCAATGTTGATAAGAAATGAATAGAAAAATCAATACTTTTTATTCTGTGTGAAGGAATATTTCAGAAGAGTGCAAAATGGAGAACGACATTGGCTCTACAGAATATACCAGAGATGAAAGAACATGGGCCCAGGGAAATACAGGTGGACATAAATTCATTTTGGTATTGGATTCTTCTCTCACCCACCCTACATCCTGACATAGCAAGCAAGGTCCTGACTCCAAATGAGAACAAGTTAGAGGCCACGGCATCAGTCCAGGCTGCCATTCTGGGCTTTCACTCACCTGTGCCATTGGCCAAGCCACTATGGCTTGGGTTCTTGATGGGCTGGCGGTGCCGGTTGCTGGTACCTGGGCTTTGCTCGCTGCTTCCTGTGGTTGTTCTGGCTGAACCACCTGAATGTCTGTGAGTCCTGGGGGTTCAAAGTATAAAGCAGACAGATATAAAAAACTGAAAAAATAAGAAATTAATCCCACCTGAGCCACCACATTCCCTCGCTATTTATTTGTAATAAGACGTTCGTTAGCCCCTCTAGTCTTTTACTCAATGGAAGCTGACTCCACACAGAGAGGCCCAGGTAAGCTTTCTTCCTGGTCAAAGCCCAAAAGGCAACTTTGTGCAAACTTTTCCATTTGAAGTAAACAAATTCAGTGAATTGCCCCACATCTGAAATAACTGGCAAAATATCCTGTGCCCATCACACTATTTTTCTTGGGCTCAAATGTAAGAAATAAACAAAATCACTGAACAGGCTACAGATGAAATATTTCTCCTGTTAGGCAAAAAGAGCCCAAAAATTTATCCAAATCCCTTTCTCTAGAACTAGAAAGTTTCTTCCTTGGGAAGAGAAGACAAGTGGCATTAAGCCACCTTGGTCAATGCCTACATTGACATGTTTTATCTAAAAAAGATGACTAAGAGATTCATCCAACTAAATGAGGAATGTGCAGGAAGGGATGTAGATCACAAAGAAGATGGTGGGATCTAGCAGCAGAGAACCTATTTGACATCTGCAGGGAACCTGAGGCAATAGGCAGTAGGCCTTCTCAAGGTCCTCTCATAGCCTGACTTCATTTGCTCAGTGAAAATGTCTAAGCAGCCCTGCCTTTCAGTTCAACTGTTTTGTGACAGGAGATCATTATACTATTTAGTATTACTATTACTTTTCAATAATGAGATGATTTAAATGTTACCCAGCGGAGAATGATCATGTCAACACATGTAGAGAAAACATTTCACTAGACACAGCATCACTTATGATAAAAACTCTTAACAAAATGGGAATGGAGGGAATGCATCTAAACATAATAAAGGCTATATATCACAAATCTACAATCAATCTCAAAAGCAATAATGAAAAACTGCAGGGCTTCCCCGGTGGCGCAGCGGTTGAGCGCTGGGTTGCGAAGCTGCCCGCGGCCTCTGCAGCGCCGGTTCAATCCCCAGCTGCTCCCCGGCCACCAGAGGAGGGTCCCACATGGCGCGCAGATCTCGCCTGCCGCCCGCTGCTCCCCTCAGCAGTGTACTTCGGTCCTTCTGCCTGCTCTGCTCCCGGCTCTGGCTCTGGTGAATTCTCTCACCCTCCCGCACTTCTGACTGTACCCAGTGCATGTATAAACAAAACAAACAAATAAATAAAACATGCCTCTATAAAAAAAAAAATTAAAAAAAAAAATAGAAAAACTGCAAGCTTTTCTTTTAAGATCAGGAGGAACAAGGTAAGGGTGACCACTATCACCACTTTCATTTTACTTTGTATTAGATATCTTAGGCAGAACAATTTCACAACAAGAAATAAAAGGAATTCAAATTTGAAAAGAAAGTATCATTAGTTGCAGAGAATCTGATAATAAATAGAAAACCCAAAGACTATCAAAAAAAAAAAAAAACCTTTTAGAAACAATAAATGAGGGGCCTCCCCAGTGGCGCAGCAGGTTGAGAACTGAGCTGTGAAGCTGTCCACAGCCTCTGCAGCACAGGTTCCATTCCCAGCCAGCCAAGGAAAAGCCCACATGGCATGGCAGACCTCTCCTGCCTTGCCCGCTGCTCCCCTCAGCCCCTCAGCAGCGTCTTCGGTCCGTCTGCCTGTTCTGCTCCCCGCTTTGTCTCTGGTGAATTTTCTCACCCTCCCGCGCCTCTGACCTGTAGCCCAGTTCTTGTATAAATAAATATATCTTAAATAAATAAATCAATAAATGAGCACAGTAAAGTGGCAGGCTACAAAATACACAAAAATCTGTTGCATTTCTACATGCAAATAAGAAGAAAAAGTAATTAAGCAAACAACCTCATTTACAGTCACATCAAAAAGAATTAACATCCAGGAATAAATATAACAAAGAAGGTGAAAGATCTATACAATAAAAACTGTAAAGCACTGTTAACATATACAGAATAAGACAAAAAGAGATGGAGAGATACCCCATGTTTATGGATGGAGAGAATTAATGTAGTCAAAATGACCACATTACAAAAGTAATATACACAGTTTCAATGAAATCTCTATCAAAATTCCAATGGTATCTTTCAAGGAAAAAAACCTTAATATATACATATATACATATATGAAAACACAAAAGACCCCAAATTGCTAAAGCAAGTTTGGAAAAAAGGAAAAATGGAGGCATCACATTACCCAATTTCAAATTATATTATAAAGGAACAGTAATTAGAACAGTCTGGTAGAATAAAAATAGACAATGGAACCAAATCAAGAGTCCAAAAATAAATCCATATGTATACTGACACATTGTAACACTGGAGCCAAGAACACACAATGGAGAAAGGAAAATCTCTTCAGCCAAATGGTGTTGGGAAAACTGGATAGCCACGTGCAGACGGAACTGGGTCACTCTCTACACAAAAGTAAACTCCATACACAAAAGTAAATTCAAATATAGCCAAGGATATAGTTTCTTTTATGGCAGGTGATGCTGAAATGTATCACCTGCCTGCAAATAACAGAACTCAAAGCAGAATTCAAGGCAGCATGCATTCAGGTGGAGGCTTCCCAGGTCAGCCACACTCCTCATTGGGAATATATAGATTCCTATACTAGTCTCCTGAGAGAGGCATGTACCCTCCTATTCTTCGGAAAGTCTTTGTGCCCGCCTCCCCACTCCTAGCCACTCCTGACTCTTCGGGAAAGTCTAGGCATCTGTCTGGTGTTCACCAGGTCTAAGTAACTTATTCAAAACAGTTTCAGGACTTTCCTAAATGTTTACTGCAAGGTAAGGTAAACTGATGATAGTTTCCCAGGCTTCCCAGAAATGTGACTATGCCCTGCAAGACCAGACCTCATGCAGACTAAGGACTCTTCCAACAGATTCTCACCTCAGTCCTTAATCAAATAACTTCCAGCCAGCCTGACTAATGATTTACATATAAAAATACAAGCAATAATAATCTAAGTGAAAAGAAAGGCTCTGAGAAAGCAAGAATAACACCACACTTGAAAAATGGGCAAAGCATATGAAGATAAATCAGAAGGCAAAAATACAATGGCAAAAATACATGTTACCAGTCTCTATGTGATGCACAACCCATATACACAGGTGAATTAGCAAGTCAAAAGGGTTTAACATGGGGGAGAGAGGAAGAGAGAGAGATAGACAGATAGATAGACAGACACCACCCTCTCCTGACAGAGAAACAGAGATACAGAGAAAATCTATACTATGACACCACATGACATGGGAGGTAAGAGTACCATATACAGCAGGTGTGTATGTGTAATCTCATTTTTTTTACAGTGCCTATGTGTAATCTCATTTAACATGGCAATCCTGGAAGAAGCTTACCATTATTGTGCCCATTTTAAAGATAATAAAATACAGAACAGTGCTGTAGAAAGTAAGCAATAGGGCAAAGGCTAAGGACTAAGGACTCCTCCAACAGATTCTCACTTCAGTCCTTAAATCAAATAACTTCCAGCCAGCCTGACTAAAGATTTTCATATAAAAATACAAGCAATAATAATCTAAGTGAAAAGAAAAGCTCTAAGAAAGCATGAATAACACCACATTTGATGATAAATGTGAAGATAAATTCAGTGGCTTAGGGTCAAGAGACCATGCTCTCTGGGTGGAGGTTGGCAAGCCTGGGCTTAAGCTGAATTCTTCATGGACTATACTTCCACTGGTCTTAGCCAATGTGACATTATGACCTCTAGTAGAAAGTTCCCTAGCTGGGGGACTCCACCCCTACTCTTCTAGTGAGACACCCAGGTTCAGTGTATTAGGACAGATCTTCACACAGCAATGCTAGAAAACTCCTAGGCAACTGTGAAGTGTCCCCACAACTGCCTTCTCCAGCACAAGCAAAATGGGCATAAGCCAAAATGTTAACAGTGACTTTCTTTGGGTGTTGGGGAAATGGATGCCTTCAGCATTTCCTGTTTTGCTTATCCAGAAGTTTCTACTTCATTGAGCTTGTACACATTTCAGTAAGGAAAAAAAGCCCACAATTTTTCAAAAAGAAAGAAGATTTTTATTGGGCCAAAATTTCAACAGCATAAAGAAGAAGAAATGTACCAAGCTCTGGTGTCTTTTGTACTATAATACTGCATGGCAGTTAAATACGGAGAGAGAGAGCCCAACTAAGCTGTGGAAATAAAGATTTAATTTGGACTCTCTTTTTCCATCTTATTTTTCCCTGAGCTAATTTCATAAATCAAAACCTGTCAACCACACCTCAGTCAAGAAAAATATTTCAAAGTCCCCACTTCATGGGAAGAAATGTCAGTACTGAGCATTTTACCGCAATTCCTCATCGAAAGCAGAACAAGTACAGACTCGTTCCAAAGGGAAAACAGCCACGGATCCGTGTATATGTGTTGAGGGAAGAGAGTTTGAGAGACAAAATTGGTTAATAGAAGGTTGATTTCAGCCAAGAATCCCCTTAAAAGGGAAAGAAAGCCTCTCTGATCGGGTACTCACAGCCCACAGCAGAGGGCTGGATCCTCAAGGAGCAGTAGGCGTGTGGACAGCACAGAAAATGCGGCATCTGTCCTGTTACCCGCACGGACTCTAAGCAGCTGGGACAATTCCCAATGGTCCAGGTTCCCTGTCCCTCTGCAAAGCAACTGGGCATGACAACAGGGTGGGTCGCCTTCCTCTCCTGGCTCCTCCTTCCCTTCCCCGAAAGGGCATGCGGTCAGAGTTGAGAGAGAATACTTTCAGAAATGTTTAACCACTAATGATAGCAGCTCACCCTGAATAGCAGGCTGGAGCAGAGCCGGGGTTAGCCAGTAAACCAGGGGCAGCTGGGACCACTTTTCATGAATTGCCGCCTCCCTGCCCATGGCCCACCGCCACCCCACTATCTCCCACCACACACACACACACACCACACACCACCCTTCCTCCAGATTCACTCACATACACTACACATACCCCCTTTCCCTAGATTCTCACACACACACACACACACCCTG